AAAAAAAAAAAAAAAAAAAAAAAAAAAAAAAAAAAAAAAAAAAAAAAAAAAAACCAGAAAAGAAAAAGGCCAAGCTCTTTCCCTGACAGAGCCTGCTGTTGGCAGGAAGCTGCCAGAGCACGGTGGCTGTCTAGAGAACCTTTCTTGGCCATGCCAGCTTCCTGAAATCTTAGAGCATGAAGCCCTGTGTTCGTAGCAGTTAGCGCCTGCTTGGAGGAATGCTGACAGGTGGCCTATGCAGCCACTGCTCCACTGTGTCTCGGTAAAGCGCTGGGTGAATTATTTTACTTTCCTGAACCTCAGTTTCCTCATCTGCAAAACAGCATAAATAATACCTTGCAGCAGGGTGTTAAGATAATTAGGGGCTGTGAAGTAAAGTGTTTAAGTTGGCGGAGTGCCTGGGCCTGATCCTGGTTTTCTCCTTTTCCAGGTGACTGCTTCGGTTTCCCCATCCAAAAATACGTATTCATACTCTCAACCTCATGCACTGTAAATGCTTACAACAATACCTGGTCCAGGATGGATGCTGTCTGAAGGTTTTCTGGTTTTAGAAGTGTCCGGCAGATAGGAAGCACTCGATACACATTATGTTCTGTTACTATTATTGTTTATCTTACCACCTAGGGTTGTGAGATAGATAACATATGAAAACATCTGGCATGCCGTAAGTACTCAGCAGATATTGTTTTCTTCCTTCCTGACCCTTGATCTTGGAGCAGGGGTACCTTGGAGTGGAAGCAGGTGATCCCTGACTGAGTTGCCATTCTTTTTAATGCTCTTCTTGTTCCTGAGAACAAGAACTACCTCTAGATGTCTGGAAAAGTTCCAGGAGCATCAGGGCCCTTGTGATATTATGACCTCAAGTTTGGTGAGCAGATATATTTAGTTCTACTTTGATCCTGAGCTAAGGCTGCCAGACGCAGACCTGTCATGGACATTCATCCATTCATTCGAGATGGAGCCTCACTCTGTCGCCCAGGCCGGAGTGCAGTGGCATGATCTTGGCTCACTGCAACCTCTGCTTCCTGGGTTCAAGCAATTGTCCTGCTTTAGCCTCCTGAGTAGCTGGTATTACAGGTGCCACCATGCCCAGCTAATTTTTGTATTTTTAGTAGAGACGTGGTTTCACCGTGTTGGCCACGCTAATCTTGAACTCCTGACCTCAAGTGATTTGCCCACTTCAGCCTCTGAAAGTGCCGATTACAGGTGTGAGCCTCTGTCCCAGGCCATGGGCATTTAATTTCATCTATATTTCACAACATGACCGAGGGAAGCTGGGAAGGGACCTTGGAGATCGTGGGCCTAATACCCACAATTTACAAGGTGGAAACAGGTTCATAGCTATGTGACATGATCTGTGTGAGGTCACATAGCTGGTTGCCAGCAGGTAGAAGCTAGTAGCAAGCACTGGGACAGCCTGGGCTGCCTTACACAGAGAAAGACTCCATTAAGTCCATGTGCAAATTGATGGAACCACTTTAGAGGATGCCTGACCCTCATCTGAAAGCTGAATTTATCTTTACCTCGCCCACAGGAAAATTCCTGTCATGTTTGAAAAATTCCAGGTGAGAAGAGCAATGACTCAGACCTCACTACTTAGAAGCATTTAAGAAATTGAATGGGACCCCAATACAAATAGAAAAGAGAAGCCATTTCCCTCTTATATCTTCTCAGCCCTACATCTCCTGTCAAGGCCAATGGACATTTTCAATTATGTAACTTCTCTGGCTGTGCATAGAGACTGAGATGCAGATGGTGGTTTAAAATCTATGCATTCCTTTGCTAAGTATTGAACCTAGAGACACCTTTTATCTTCAAGGTTTTCAGAGGGGCATTTGCCTAGGAACACGGCACTTGGGTCTGATGTTCTGGAAAATGAACTTGCTCGGTGCACCTGAAAATTACACTGAGTTTTGCTAGGCACGCTCTTCTTATTGAGATGCAAATACATGTGGCTTGGTGGAGTTTTTGTAGGAATCTTTTTTTTTTTTTCCCGAGACGGAGTTTCGCTCTTGTTACCCAGGCTGGAGTGCAATGGAGCGATCTTGGCTCACCGCAACCTCCACCTCCTGGGTTCAAGCAATTCTCCTGCCTCAGCCTCCTGAGTAGCTGGGACTACAGGCGAGTGACACCATACCCAGCTAATTTTTGTATTTTTAGTAGAGACAGGGTTTTACCATGTTGACCAGGATGGTCTTGATCTCTTGACCTCATGATCCACCCGCCTCGACCTCCCAAAGTGCTGGGATTATAGGTGTGAGCCACAGCACCCGGCCCAAGTTTTTGTAGGAATCTTAAGCTACAACAAGGAAACAAATTCAAATTGTTTTGTGCATTCGTGCAGAGGTTCGTGGCACCATTTCCTTCCAGGTGCTTGCTGTGCAATTCTGATCCAAAATTTAATGCTGAAGCACATAAATTTAGGCTTTGAAAAACAGCGAGGACATTCACAAAGAGCTTCAATTGTGTTTAAAACTTGGCAATTTTAAAGGAATTTGATTAAGATGAAAAAGAGGGCCGGGCATGGTGGCTCACACCTGTAATCTCAGCACTTTGGGAGGCTGAAGCGGGTGGATCACCTGAGACCAGGAGTTTGAGACCAGCCTGGGCAACATGGTGAAACCCCGTCTCTACTAAAAATGCAAAAATTAGCTGGGCACGATGGCACATGCCTGTAATTCCAGCTACCTGGGAGGCTGAAGCAGGAGAATCACTTGAGCCTGGGAGGCAGAGGTTGCAGTGAGCTGAGATTATACCATTGCACTCCAGCCTGGATGACAGAGTGACACTCCATCTTAACGAAAAAAAAAGATAAAGAGAAATTATTTTAGAAGTGGGAAAGTATTCTAAACAAAGTTAAACTAAACCACCTTATAAAAAATAGAAAATTTTGATTTACTATGGAAGAAGTGGGAAGAGAAGTTTGGGTCAGATTTTTAATCACTAACAGATTTGATCAGGAAATAGGAGTTAATTCTTTTCAGTATTTTTTTTGACAGAGAAATAAGACTGTTTAGAAAAAAAAGTTATTTCTTGGTGAAATTAGTGCTCTGAAATTAGAGTGATGCTTCTAATGTTTCCACTATAAATTATAACAAAATGTTTGAGTTTAAAGCTAAGAGTCTATGTTGAGTTACAGGACAGGGTGTGGACGTGAAAATCCTTTGACTCTAAATTTTTACAGTGTTTTCTTTTATGAGCTCATGACTGCTGGGTTTTTCCATGAATTTGAAACAAGTATAGAGTGTTTTGAAATGAAGATTATTTGCTTAAACTTTATAGGCTGAGCTAAAAATAGAAAAACACTGATTCTATTTTTGGAATGCCTTACAAGCTAAAAAGTAAACATGATTGCTGTACATATGGAGCAACATACT